TAGTCTGAATATAAGTATTTCGTTCACTAGATGTAATTAAATCCGAAGCCTAATTTCTCAGGAAAATCCTCGGCCGATCGAATGGAAACAAAAGACAAAAACCTTCCCCAAGAAAAGAAAAACACAAGTTGCTTACAATATATGGGCTTCAGCCCAAATGCCAATTCACCGGCCCATTACAGACTAAGGCTGTGTTCTGTTCAGTGTTCCCAACCCCTCGTGTTCCGTGCGCACGCTTTTCAAACTACTAAAGGTTGCGTTTTTAAAAAAAAAAGTTTCTATACAAAAGTTGTTAAAAATCATATTGATCCTGAAAAAAAATAACTAATACTTAATTAATCATATGCTAATGAACTGCTCCGTTTTTCGTGCGGTAGATGGGTTCCCAACCCATAGAAAAGAACACAACCTAAGGCCTCACGCATGCATGAGTTTACAGGGCCCAGTCCATATATATGCTCCTGCAAAATGCCGGCCCACTGGATGAGTAGAAGAATTCAGTCCATGTTTATACTCCCCCTGTCTGAATTCTGAAATCTGAATAATTGGGAATAACCATCTCATGCCAACTCTGAAACTGCTTCAGCTAAAGTTCTATAAGTTCAATCTGATATACGAAACCAATGCAACAATAATTCTCTTGTGTCCCTTTCTTTTGAACGCCCAACTTGTTTTCTTCAGTACGAATTCACAGGGTTTCAAATGGTTTCATTTGAAATCCATTCATTCCAAACATTTTTGTATACATCTGTCAATCTTAGTGCATGGATAAAAAGCTCGATTGGTCTGGTTGTCGGTCGCTTGATCTTTCATGCACGTGGACAATACCATGAACACTAATCATGGCAAATCTTAAAAGTATATATACACAGTTGACAGCAACTTCATCAGTTGACGACAGCCACACGACCTTAATCCTGAAAGTACTGTTTAGTACTATATATATACCAAAGCATGCTCCGCTATCAACTTTATGTCCCACTGTCCCAACATTTTTTTCAATAATGGAACACGACACTTCGATCAGTCTCTGTACCCAAAGATGCACAAAGACACGCCACTGTCATTAGCTAATCCAAATTGATTGTTTTCTGGCATTAGCAGTACAAAATTACTGCTAATTCAGTCTCTGAAATCTGAATGACGATCCATCTTTTTGACAGCAATGACGATGAATCGAGGTGAGGTCAAGACTGAAACTGTGAAACATGCATCTCACCATCAGTAGGAAAAGAGGCATTTAACAATTTGATGATAGCATCGGAGATTCAGAGGTGAAAACTTTGACTCGATTGATTGATCAATCTGCTCCATGATAGTATTACTAAATCTTTCAGATAATGCATCGACGGATCGACAGCAAATAATTCCACTGCCAAATGGAATCGGACAATGCCAAGTGCATGCATGCGTCCACGAGAAAAATAAAAAAAGCAACCCTGAAAACAACAGCATGCAGCTAGCTAGCATAGCAATATTGTCTTTCAGACAGCAAGACATATTTACATATTGCATCTTAACTCTGAACTTTGGAAGAAGAGTATTGTTTTACATCTCACAGAGTTGGCCACTGTTCAGTTGTTGCTAACTGTAAAGATTAAGATGCGTCAAAGTTAATCTAGGTCTCAAGAGGTAAACTAAATCTGCACATGAAAGGAAACAAGATGGACAGGCTAAAAAGCACAGAAGCTGACGATAAAAACTTGTGCTTTTTCAGCATGAAACTTTGCATCAACTATATTGATACGCATGGCATGAGGTTTCTTGTCGGCTATGATGTTATGGAAATTTTGCAGGTGCAGATTAGCCTGAAAGTGAAAGCCCATCTAGCTAGAGGGGACAAATAGAATGTGCAGACAGTGGTGCAGTAGTAGAAGACAAGTGCAATCCTTGATATGATTCAACTTGCTTGCATTTGCATATCTTCTTCTTCAGAGAGAACAAAGCAGAGAGTACCAAACTCAATGACCTTTCACTTAATGTTTGCATGAATCGATTTCCCACCATCTCGATGTGATGTGATGTGTGTGCACAACATATGGACAAGTGGGCAAATCTTGTTTAAATTGACCCAATTGAATTATTGGTTCCTTGCATGCAGTGTGACTCAATGTGCTTTTTATTTCTTTTCCTCGAAAAACAAAGACTATCCTTTGAAAATCAGAACAGCAACAACGATAACAAAAAAAAAAGAAAAGAAAAAAGGCCCTCATCATTGTGGTACTCATCAGTTTTCCACCACATTTTCTTAGATTGTGTTTCACATGCTCTATGCTCTATATGTTACATAGTACGATAATGCTAAATCATATATATTCCATATATGTACTACTATTTTATTTCCATCATAAAAAATGTACCAAATAATATTTTAAAAGGACAGATAATTCCAATATGTTATGTGTGGTACAAGAAGATTCTAGGCATGGCATGGGCTTGAAAAGTCAAAGTGGGCCGGCCTGGAAAAGTGGCAAAGGCCCTAATGCTGATCACTAATATAGAAAAATCTCTTGATTTGAGCCAAACAGCCAGTGGCAGTGGTCAAGACAGGTCAGGTCCTTGTCACCCCCAAACCTGAACAACCAGTGGAGACTGGCACTAATCAGGGATTCAGCCATTATTAATAGCCTCATTTCTTTTCCTAATATGATGTATGATTTACCTTTTTTACTAGTATTATCATTGCAGGAGTAATATTTATTGGTCTCTGGCTGACATTATCCTGTGCTTTACATAACTTAAAGGGAAAGAAAGAAGCAGGACCACGTGTGATTTCCTACTTCCTCTGTCCCATAATATAAGGGATTTTGAGTTTTTGCTTGCAACGTTTGACCACTTGTCTTATTCAAAATTTTTTGAAATTATTATTTATTTTATCTGTGACTTACTTTATTATCTACAATACTTTAAGCACAACTTTTCGTTTTTTATATTTACAAAAAAAAATTAAATAAGACGAGTGGTCAAACGTTACAAGCAAAAACTCAAAATCCCTTATATTGTGGGACGGAGGGAGTACCTTATTTGTGCATGCAGCCATTGAATGCTGCAGTGTGCAGGAGTATTAATTATTTCATCAATATAGTTAAATTTTACAGGAACTAATTATGAACTGGCCCCCATTGCTAGCAAACTATACTGAACAGTGCAATACTATCTCTGTTTTCGAACTTGGTCCTCCGTCCTCGCATCAATATAGTTTCCAATGCACGTGACAATTTATCTGTCAGTCTTTTTCTTTTTTTAATGATAAATCGAGTAACAATGCTATCTATAAATCGATAGAAGATGACGTGTGCGTGAAAGACGGCGAGCCTTACAATGAAGAAAGAAGAGGAATCAAGGGATAAGATGCAATGTATATAAATGGACATTATAATTGAACTTTTGGCTCCTTTGTTACAAGTTGAAGCTTAATTTCCCAACAACATGCCAATTAAGCTTTTTACATGGAGAAATTTTGTAATTCTTAAAAAAATACCTTGAGCTACCTAAATTTATATTAAAATCTTTGTTATATTGAGATAATTAATACCTGTAGGTACCAAAATTTATACTAGAAATATGGTAATTTCTCAAGGATAATAAAATTACCTTTTACATGGTACCTAGTGACTAGGTTTCTAGCTATCAATAGTTTCTCAATCGTTAGCCTCACCCAACACTAACTTTTTTTTAATCTTAGAATAAAACAACAAAGGCTCCCATATGGAGAAATGTAAAATTACATTCTAAAATGTAAACTAAGAGTCATAGTAAAATTATATTTTGTACAATATTCAATAATTCAATGCAAGTTACTTCACTAATTTTCATCACTCGCACTTTCCTAATTCCCTGCTATAAATTTTCAGGGGCCTGAAGTCTAGCAAATCTTATAAAATTAACAAATAACAAAACAAACTTGTTTATTTGCGTGCTGCTTATGATAATGATGAATCATGATTCGATCGAGTCGGTTTCAAAGGTACGGAGTGACAATGATCTGCCAAGATTTTACAGCAACATGGTGGGTCAGTAAATAGTTGTTTTCCAGCTACCATACAATACAAGCAGTCAATTAAAATGTCCAGATTTTACCCTCCATTTATTGACAGAGATGGTGGTGGGCCATCTCCATCTCTCTCAAATAAGATGGTGATTTTTTTTTATTTTTCTTTTTGATATGGGGTTGGGTCACTGTAGTGGTAGTAGTGGCACCACGCCGCAGAGCAATCAGACACGCACGCATATAAACCCCATAGAGCCAAGCACAACCTGATCCTCCCTATTTCAGTCACGTTCCCTATTACAATTAGTAGCTTTCGTCCTTTTGCCAGCTTCCTACCTAGCTACTCTCTTCGTCCCAAAATAAACGAACATAATATTTAGGATGATATATTTAGAACTATAAATCTAAATAACGTAGTACCAGTACATTTATTTTGGTATTCCTCTGTTTGAAAATATGCTTCACAGTCGATAATAGGCTGTTACTCCCTCCGTTTCACAATGTAAATCATTCTAGCATTTTCTACATTCATATTGATGCTAATGAATTTAGATCTAGATTCATTAGCATCAATATAAATATGAAAAATACTAGAATGACTTACATTGTGAAACGGAGGGAGTATATTTTAAGACGGAGGTACTAGCTGCCTGCACAGAAATTAATCAATTACTAATTACACTGAAAAGCACAACAATTTAATGTTAACATGATTCCTGTAGTGCTGCCGCCCAAATCAATCAATAAATATATACTTCCTTCGTCTTCATCTCAAAATATAAGATACAACCGTATTTTTTATGTCTCACATATAAGGCGTGCGTGCATGTATATATTAATTATCACCTCTTAGTTCTTTAAATTTAGTTTAATTTATTTCCTGTACCATTAAGTCTTCCAATCACACTGTTTACATGTATGGATATAATTATATTCTTTATTTGATCTCTATGTTAGAAGTGGTTGAGCCTTATATTTTAGGATGGAATGAGTATATATACACACACCACCCTGAAGCTGGAGGCTTGCAGTGAGTCGTACAAGTGTAGAACAACACTTGTGCTACCTAGCTTAGTTATCTCGTTGCCAGCTGCACAGTTCCAGCTTCAGTTTCAGCTAGCGCTAGCTGATCCACTAATCACATCACTGCGTGCTTAATTAGCTAGGATTAATCGATTCATAGATATCTCCTACAAATTCCAAGTGAAACAGCAGCATCAGCAGTGGCTAGCTGAGTGATCGATCGATCATGGCGGAGGCGGCGGGTGATGGGGGTTGGCCGGAGCCGGTGGTGAGGGTGCAGGCGCTGTCGGAGAGCGGGGCGGCGACGATCCCCGACCGGTACGTGAGGCCGGAGACGGAGCGGCCGTCGTCGTCGTCGGAGGCGAACGCCGTCGCCAACATCAACATCCCGGTGGTGGACATGTCGTCGTCTCCGGGGACGGCGGCGGCGGCGGTGGCGGAGGCGTGCAGGGAGTGGGGGTTCTTCCAGGCGGTGAACCACGGGGTGCCGGCGGCGCTGCTCCGGCGTGCCCGCGGCGTGTGGCGCGGGTTCTTCCAGCAGCCGATGGAGGTGAAGCAGCGGTACGGCAACTCGCCGGCGACGTACGAAGGGTACGGCAGCCGGCTCGGCGTCGACAAGGGCGCCATCCTCGACTGGGGTGACTACTACTTCCTCCACGTCAGACCACCCCACCTCCTCTCCCCTCACAAGTGGCCCCACCTCCCCCCTGACCTCAGGTACACATCACTCATCCACTAATTTCCACCTATAATTATTACTATTCAACACAAAATTCCTCCTTACTCCCTCTGTCCCATAATATAATGAATTTCGGATGAATATGACACATCCTACACCGTGTTTAGTTCCAAAGTTTTTCTTCAAACTTCCAACTTTTCCATTACATCAAAACTTTCCTACACACAAACTTCCAACTTTTCCATCACATCGTTCCAATTTCAACCAAACTTCCAATTTTTGTGTGAACTAAACACAGTCCTAGTATAATAAATCTGGACATACGGTATGTTCAAATTTGTTGTTCTAGGATGTGTCACATCCATCCAAAATCCCTTATATTATGGGACGGAGGAAGTAGTTGTTTTAGCATTTTTCTTAAATGTTAGTATAAGGCCGTGCTCTTTTGAGGAGTTCAGAACATTTCCCTCTCAACATGCAAAACAGAATAATAGACTAGCGCGTGATTAATTAAGTTTTAGCTTACAAGAACTTAAGAAACATATCGATATGACTATTTAAAGAAACTCAAGTATAGAACTTTTTTTCTTCCAAAAACACAACCTTTAGCAATTCGAAAAGCACGAGCGAGGGAATACAAGTTTAAAAGGGAGAAAAGGATATGTCCTAATTACATGTGCAAAAATACTAACTAATATATATGTATAGGGAGACGACGACAGAGTACAGCGAGGAGGTGAGGAGGTTATGCGAGAGGTTGATGGCGGTGATGGCGGTGGGGCTAGGGGTAGAAGAAGGGAGGCTACAGGAGGCGTTTGGTGGTAGAGAGGGTGCTGGAGTGTGCGTGCGGGTGAACTACTACCCGCGGTGCCCACAGCCGGATCTAACACTAGGGTTGTCCTCGCACTCCGACCCCGGCGGGATGACGGTCCTCCTTGTCGACGACCGTGTCAAGGGACTCCAGGTTCGCCACGCCGGTGCATGGGTCACCGTTGACCCCGTGCCTGACGCCTTCATCATCAACGTCGGCGACCAAATTCAGGTATTTGCATTACATACATTTCAACAAGTAACTATTACACGTGTGTTATCTACCACTCCAAAAATGCACTGGATTTCTTTTTCTACCTCCATATATATAGTTTTATTTTAATTTTCACCTGCATTTTCCTCCTTTTTTTCTTATAAATATACACAATTTCTCCGGTTTAAAATGGTCGTCTTCACGGCCTCACGGGTGCACCGTGTTCTAGCTAGTTTTTTTTCCCCTTTCTAGTAGTTAATTTTCTCGATTTTTTTACTCCTCTTCCAAAAGTATGTAAAGATGGTGATGCATGTGTGTGTTAGTTTTGTCAAACACACATATCTATCGATCACATCCATCAATATAACCTAGTTATTATCTCATCGATCGATCCACATAACGATATTAATAATTAGTGGGCTATATTAGGACAACAAGAAGGGATTAACACAATCCATAAACTAGTAAAGTACAGCCAACCTACTACTGTTACCTGACGTGGATCGAAGAGGGTAAAATAAAACAATTAGAAAGGTAGGATGTTTACGTGGCCGGTATATATCCAACCTTAGCTTCTACTTGCAAGATAGTTATAGCAAAGCTCCAGATTTTTTTACATGATTAGTAGAAGAGGTGGACATAAAAAATGTTTTTGTCCCAGCATATTTTTGGTTGTTTTTCACGTGGCGACACACGTAATTCGGCAGTTTTGACGGTCACATGCTTCAGTTTGATTTGATCGCTACTAGTATCTAATATATAAATAGTTTGATTGTGATGAAAGGGATTTATATGTTCAGTAATTAGTGTTCTTTTGATACTTGTAATTAAGTTTATCTATAAAATATGAGTGGTCAAACTAATGAAACAAACTATGTATAAAGTCAAAATTGTCATGTATTACGAGACAAAGGGATCGAGTACTATATATATAATAGGCTAGCTAGTGCATATGCATGTTGGTAAAAATAATAGGCACGTGGGAAAAAATAATGAACCGTCTTCATGGTAAAATATATGGAATAATTTGTAAGGGCAGCCATAGTGGCGGAAACAGCTTCTGGTATGTCAGGTGATCGTCTGGACTCCGCCACTACCGTTATTATTACCGAATGCAATCAATATATATATAATTGATCGGTCGTCGTGAAACGCTATTAATCGTCCGGGCTTGACGACGATGCTAACTCCGCCACTGAACAACCACATAAACATAAAAGAAAAAAGAAATATACATAATCTTAGAGTTCATCAGTCCAAAATATAAACATTTCTATACTAAATATGGCCTTAGGTGCACGCATTCGAGTAGAGCTATGTGGCTGCGCGAGATTCACGTAGAGATGCTATTGTTTTATGGTTATAAGAAATGAGTTCATATGAAATAAATATCTTCGACGCATGTTTTTTTCCTTTTTATGGATGCACGCATGACATACTACCAGTTTTTTTTTTGTTGAAATTTGATATTATGGCTAGTCGATCATTGGCTGAGTCGTTTAGTCCTCTGTATATATATGCATTTTCTGTGGTCCTAGCTATGACGACTATTCTAAATTAACTAGAGGACAAATTTAGGAGTTATCACATAGTACTGGACTAAATGAAATAACATGACTAATTTATGTTTCTTACTCCTTCTGTTTTTTTTAAATTATAAGTTGTTTTAACTTTGACCAAAGTCAGAGACTTATAATGCATTTAATTTATGCAAGTCGATAGATAAAAAATAAAACTGATTATCTCGTGCGTTTGTATTGTATGCGTCCGTCACCAGGCGAGAAGAATCGGAGCCGTTTGCTAGCAGCTATCTGTGTGTGAATGCATGCCTACTAATCAACCAATTAATCAATTAGGCTAGCTAGTTGCTGACGTGGTGGTATTTATACGTACTCCGTATGTACAGTATGCGTACGTGTACACACAAGTTTGACCTTTCTTCCAACGTCATCAGCTAGCTTGAATGTTTGTGCAAACACTATATAAATAAATATGTACTGCACCTATCAACTAAACCAAGCAATGATCATGTGCTTAATTTGTGTTTGTTTAGTATGAGAAGGTTAATTTTCTCATCTTAAAAAATATAATTAAACATAACATGATGATGATTAACACTACCGTAAACCATTGATCATCTTTTCTGTGGCTGTATTCCGGATTGGGCATACAACAATGTGCAATCATGAATGCATGTCTGTCACTTGTTAGCCCAACCACACGAATCAGAGGTAGGAAAATCACTCCCCAACAAACTCCCTGATCTCTAGACATGTGTTGCAATTTTTTTCCATCTTGTTTCATTCTGCAAAAAAATAAAAAGAAAAAAGTATGCTGGCAGGGTTTTCAGTGGCCACATCATCTGAATATGTCTGCAAAATAGGAACAGTATGCTACAATGCCCTTTTCTGCTACTATATATACCCTTTTGTTGATGCTAACCTATTGCTACCAAATTTTAGAGAGAAGAATATATTGCTGATAATCTTAGTTGCCTAGCTAGCTAGCTACCAAAACCTTGTAGTAGTTGGACAGATTTGTATATGGGGGCGATTATGTTCTTATCCCTGTTTTTCAACTCTAACTATCGCTGTGTTTAGTTCTGAAATATTTCTTCAAACTTTCAACTTTTCCATCACATCAAAACTTTCCTACACATATAAATTTCTAACTTTTCCATCACATCGTTCCAATTTCAACCAAACTTTTAATTTTGACGTGAACTAGCCTATAATTTAATCGTACCTTCTTTAAAAAACTTTGTGATTTTGTCTTGTTTTTCTTAACTGAAGCATGTGTAATATTTGCATGGTCGAATAAAGTTCAGGGTAAATTAAATAGGTAGAGCAGTAGTAGCAGTTGCAGACATAAGGCTGTTGGTAGTGTAGTGCATTTGTGCTGCTAGCTCCTGTGAGCACGTTTTCCACAGGGCCATGCAAATGCAAATGCAATTCAGAGCAAAGGAATGCCTTTATTTCACATCCCAACCTTGCAAGGTCCCCTACACATCTCTCTGATTGCTGCTCTTCCTTCATGGAGTAGTATATAGGACCAGTACTGCACTGCTCCTTTGAAGTAGTAGGATGCTTTCTTTGCACACCAGACATATCACTATCTACTTGCATCACACTCACACACCCGTGAGTATGCCTCGATCGGTTTAATGCGTCCTCAAGAGATGAGGAGTTTTTTTTTTTTTTTTTTTTGGCCGGGAAGACCGAATGAGGCCATCTGAATGTAGAGATGCAGAGTTGGGGGAACAAGCAATTAGTCTTATACTACCTCCGTTTTTTAATAGATGTCGCCGTTGACTTTTTCTCACATGTTTGACCATTTGTCTTATTCAAAAATTTTATGCAAATGTATAAGATATAAATCACACTTAAAGTACTATGAGTGATAAAACAAGTCATAACAAAATAAATTATAATTACGTAAATTTTTTGAATAAGACGAATGGTCAAACATGTAAAAAAAGTCAACGGCGTCATCTATTAAAAAACGGAGGTAATAGTTATTTGTTTTTCAAAATCCTATTAAAAATATACTTGTGTGTGTAATTTTCGTTGCCACCTTATCACACCAAAGATGCTTAATTTATGACGGCAAGATAGTGCAAAAATTCTAAATAAGTAACTCTATTTCGGTAACTCGGAAAAATAATTAAGGTTTCGATTTGGCTATTTATCGTGCATATGAGTTTTATCTAGCCTAGAGTTGCACCCGTTCTTGAAAAATACTAAGAACTCATTTTTGGAATAGAGGAATTTTATGAAAATTTAAAGGAAATTAATAAACTGTCCTTTTAAACATCTTGTAAAATTTATGCGTTCCAAAGTAATTAAAGAGGTCTAGTACTCTAGTGTGTGGTGGTCATATAAATTTTACTATACCTTTAGCTAGTTGGTGCATTATTATCTAATAAAGAAGAAATTTGTGAATTAATTAATTAAATTTAAACACAGGTGGTGACGAACGCATTGTACCGGAGCGTGGAGCACCGGGTGGTGGTGAACGCGGCGGAGGAGCGGCTGTCGATCGCGACCTTCTACAACCCTCGGAGCGACCTGCCGGTGGCGCCGCTGCCGGAGCTCGTGTCGCCGGAGCGGCCGCCGCTGTACAGCCCCATGACCTTCGACGACTACCGCCTCTACATCCGCCGCAACGGCCCCCGCGGCAAGTCCCAGGTCGATCGCCTCGCCGCCGCCGCCGCCACAATACCTAATTCTACTACCACCACTCAATAATATCATCATCATCATCATCTCCGGCCATCGCCGCCGTCGCCGGCCGTCGCCGTGTATGATTCATAATTAGTTAGCTGATTAGTAATAAATTAATTAATATGGACATGCTAGCTAGCTACTAGCTATATGTGCAGGCATGTGATGAAATGGAATTGATTTAAGTTTGTTGCGATCTGCAATTGATTGTCTTGTCATCGTCGGTTCTCGATCAAATTAATGATCAGTTTATATACTAGTATTCTCTTGTTGTTCTATCTGATTTGATTAACTAATCCATGTGATTTAACAAGAGGTTATCCCTCCTAGCTAGCTATAATTATTAACTAGCTATAGCTAATAGCATGATTAGCTACTAGCATATACGCACATCCTCCCACGTCACTAATTGATCATCACATGGTTAGTTATATCCTAAACTCTCTTCATCTCAAAATAAATAAATCTAATACTAGAGACTGATCAGTATGTACAAATTCGTAATACCAGAACGTATCTCGGTTTGTTTATTTGGAGATCAGGAAAGTATGAATAAACATATATGGATCGATATGATCTCTTTGGAATAATTAATTATCTAATTAATTAATAACTGGCTAGTTAGCTCGAGGAAGATACTAAGATAATGACATTACTTGCTATCTACCAAGGAAACTCCTGGTCATGATCATCACCTTAACCATAGCCACAATGGAAGGCAAAGGTGAAGACAAAAGAAAAAAGGGTTAAAAAAAGAAATCGAAACTCCATTATTGTTGCTTGAAAATGACATTGGAAAGCATATATGGACTAATTTGCTCAAATGCATCCACAACCAAATGGTATCCCAAAATATATTATTCCCTTCACCTGGCACGTGAACGAAAACGATTTCTCGTCTTTGTCAGCGACATGTGTGTGCAGACTAGCTTATATTACATGTTTTTTTTCCCATTTGTGTGTTAATTCGAAATAACGGGTGTCAAGAAAGATAAGGGGGGACTTGTGCACGCAGGTCACTAACGTGTCGATCAATGAGCGAGTGAGGTTTTTCCTAATTTTTTTTCTTCTCTGAGTCAAAATATATGGCGTTGTTAACTTGTCTGATAGCATTTGACCATTCTTCTTATTTAAAAATAAATATTATTTATTTGTTGTGATTTGTTTTATCATGTAAGAAACTATAATATTATGTTATACTTTTACATATTTATATGAAACTTTTAAATAAGATAAATATTTTTTTAACGGCTAACACTAAACAGTGCGAAAAAATCAACACTGAAAATAATCAAATGTTATGAAAAAATCAACAACGTCAAACATTTTAGAACGGAGAGAATATATACACACCACTACGCATGTACACTAAACATGCACACTCAACTCACTGAGTGTGCTCTCTTAATTAACACCGGCTCAAACAGCGAATTAAATTTAAAAATATATCTCTTTTTTCATTATCTTGCGTTTATATATCTATGTGCCGAAAATTTACACAAATATACCTCTCCCGCAGTATGGTTACGCGGGACCGAGACGGTCCCGCATTACCATTCCACGGGACCGGCGATCCCATAGCCCAGCCATGCGGCACCGCCTCGCTCCCGCAACCCGGGAGAGCGGTATCGTGGTGGCACACGGGGGGACGCAACCACCGCGTCGGTCTCGCGGACCAGCAGCACGGCACTGCGCGGTCACGCAGGCCGGCCACGCGTGACCGAGCAGCCCGCTGCACATGCATGCATATACGCATGTATGCACACACACGGGTCGATGCCGCAGGGCAGGCCTGCGTGACCGCGCGGGACTGGGCTATATTGTTAAAGACAAATCATTAGTCTCACTAAATTTTTATTGAAAGTGCTCACCTGCTCCTATAATTGATTTTTGAATTCCTGGTAGGGTGGAACCATGCACACACGCCTTTAATACTACACATCCAGTGATTTCCCTTAGGATTTTACATTTTTTAGATTAATAAAGGATTCCTCTATAAGATAGTCATGAAAAGTTCTTTTTTAAGGCAAGATAGTCATGACAAGTTGGATGTACCCTGTGACGCGTTGTTTGGAACATAGGGATTTTTTCTCAACTCCTATGGGATGAATTGTGGTCATGATATTTTAAAATCTTCAGTCTTTTACACCCCAGGTATAGAATTGGATGTATCGAATCTGTACACGTGGATTTACACAAAAAATTGGTTTCATAATATCATAATTTTAGCAGGTTCTATAAAATGCCTTGGTAGAAAATAAAATAGCTACCAAGAGTTTTGCTTGGAGCTCTTGGCGACACCCAAAATAATGTGTTTTTTAATATGTTTTTTCTAATAACAAATAATGTGTTTTTTTGAACATGGGAGGACTTGATCAGTTGTCGGTACATACTGCCGCACCTGCAAAATCGATCGTTATCTGATTATAAAGGTAGCAACCAATAAAAAGGAAAAGGCATAGCGTTGTCTGACAACCACAATGGAAAAGCAAGATATACTCCCTAGCTAGGCAAATATTTTCTGATGGCTATTTCGCCCCTTTTTCCTAAGATCTTGATGGACCACTCTTGACAGCAACCATCTTAAAGGGGCATTATAGCTGGCCATTAATTTGCATTATTCGTAATGTCATCTGCTTGTCATTACATAAACATTGACAAAGTGAACCTCTTGGAGAAATGAAAACATCATATTCACCGTCATGATGTTGTGTTCCACGGGATGCAATCTTTGATGAGGAGATTAGTGATGAAATGCTTAGAGGACGCCATCCTCTGGGAGGAATGTCTTAACGTTAATGATAGAGTGGTTGTTTCCTCGTGAAAGGAAACCCTTTCCTCCTCTTTGAGATACCCTGTAATCTGAGCCAAAACTGTGTAATCCCTCTTTTCGAACTGTTATATGAAAAAATTCAGGTGGAAAAACTCCCCCCCTCCCTTGACCATTCTTTAAAGAAAAAACATCATAGTATATCATAAGAATACAACAGCAACATTAAGCATACGTTTGGTTAAAGGGTTGAGATGAATCGGGTTAGGTTGAACCTATTTTTCAATGTGTTTGGTTAGGGACATGTGGGATAAGATGATCCTTGATAGAGAATATTTCCCTAAGATCCAGTTTGGCATGATCCTTTAAAAATTGGCGGACTAATCCAACCAACTTTTTCTCTGGTCGATATATGGGCTATTACTTTAAAAGTATGATCATCACATCCCTAATGCCAACAGATAGATGGGATCATCTCATCCTAAAAAAAAATGAGTCCCACCTTGTCCCCAAACCAAAACATGCTAATTGTATATTCTTTCCCTTGCCCCTTATCGGTTCTCGCTAGAATATACCAAGAATTTACCATTACTAAAATATAGGGTAGATAACCAAACATACCAATAGTTTCGATGCTGATTTTCGGTTGTTACTTGCCGACACATCGCGAGCCTCTTGTTCAGCAATCCATGACACTTTTGTGCTTCTATTATTATATGATAACTCCATATCAAATGAAGCCTTTCTGAATTCCCCCAGGATCAACCTCAAGTCACCTCAACCATTGGTTTGTGATCCGATAAATTTTTCCAATCCCCAAAAGTCCACACTAGAACTATAGTATTTCTACAACTAAAAAGGCAAATATGCACTGTTGCTACACTGTTTTTGCACTGTTGCTGAGCAGTGGAGCACCTACGGACACGGCAGATCATCATCATCTCCTCAACCTCCGGTCTCCCTCTCCGACAGCGACTCCGGCCAGCGACACCGGCCGAAAAGGCCAGCCAGCCGTCTCACTGGAAGACGGCAATGGCGATATTCCGGCCAGGAGAAGATGATGATGATGAGACCTAGCTGCTGAACCCTTTCTTAGGATTAACCGAACGTCCAGACAATGCCTCGGGAGGTTTTGGAATTGGAATTCCAGGGGATTTCAAAACGTGCCGTCAACTTCATAAGGGGTTAATACTCGTGAGGAAAGGATTGAAGAGAATTAAGGAAAATTAATTTCACACTTTCATAGATGTTATATAAACTTCTTTTAGAGTTGGGTTAAGCGAATTAAGGTCTCAGTAGGATTTGGAATTGGAAATCTAGGGGATTCCAAAACGTGCCGTCAGCCTCATGAGGGGCACTCGGACATACCTCGTCCAAGAAGATCACCATCCTGCTTTTAACGCTTGCAGTCTTCACTGACAACAATCATCGATCGACGGACAGGAACTTTCTGGAATCTTATCACCATGTCGTCGTCTTCACCATTTGAAGCAGCAGATGAGGTCAATCTCAGGTAGCAACTATAGCAAGGAAAACACTTACGGAACCCACTGGATCTTATCATCACCATGTGCAAATTTATGTCATATATCAGCAAAGCATTCCCCATCTGTGCATAGTTTTCACTGTTGATTGAGCAGAGTTTTCATTGCTTTTACTGTTTCTGTGGATGAGGCCTGACTGAATGTATCTGTGGATCAGACCTGGCTAGAAACACTGCAAAATGACAAAATGGCAGGAGTAGTTTTCAGGAAATAGCCAAGAAAAGTTGAGATATGACCCAAGGATTACTTGTGTCCAGTAACAAGCACTCCCTCCGTCCCCAAAAAAAGGCAAACCCTTGATTTCCGTGTCTAACTTTGACCGTCCGTCTTATATAAATTTTTTTTATAATTCGTATTTTCATTGTTGTTAGATGATAAAACATGATTAATATTTTATATGTGACTTGTCTTTTTATTTTTTTTCATATTTTTTCAAATAAGACGGACGGTCAAACGTTGGACACGGAAACCAGGGTTTGTCTTTTTTTTTTTTGGACGGAGGGAGTATATGCACCTGGGAATTGAGATATGGTCCAAGGATTACTAGTGTCCAGTTGCAAGTATGCACCTGGAACATATTTACAAGTGTTAAGCTAGGAGAAAGAAACAAAGGAACGTTTTAGGATATATCTCAAGGAAGGAAAATCTGCTTTTCCACAATGAAGCTGAACACATTGACAGAATGAACTGCTGCTACTCTGTTAGCAGTTGGCAATCAATTGGAGTAATGTTGGAAATACCAATGCAAACATGTTCTTCAATACTTGCACCGAAGCAGTGATTGTACATTCAGCAACTGTGATCAAACCCTCTCAATGTATTCCCAACTGCTAAACAAACGACTAAATACAGGTTCACAATATTGTACTACCAGTTAAGGCTTAGGCAAAAGTTGCTGGATCCCTGACTTTTGGTCAGACGTTAGATTGGTGGGGAACTTGATCTGAAACCTGATCTTCAGATCCCCTTTCTTAGACGGTTCCTTTGTGATTGGCATCCCTTCGCCCTTCACAACCTCTTCAGAAGTAGGATTGATGACGGACTTCACTGGAACGGTTAAATTCCGCCCATCCAGAGTTGTCAGTTGGACTGTGCAACCGGTCAAAGCCTCCACGAGCGAGATCCTATGCGTGTAAATAAGATCATCCTTGTCTCGCTTGAATCTAGCGTGCGACCGCTCTTCTATTATAAACACTAGGTCTGATGGTATGATGTTAGGCTTCTCATTGCCTTTCTTGGGAAAGGTTACCTTTGTACCCTTCTTCCATCCAGGCTTGATATCGATTGTCAGGATCTCCTCCAGATTTGTCGGTTTCCTGCACAAAAACATAGAAACATTTTGTAAAAAGGGCACGGAAATAATAGGCCTACCTTTTCCCCGAAAAGTCAAAGCTCCTTTTACGGCAAAGAAGAATTTGAAGTTTCAGAAAATCATTGAATGTCATACGTAACACCTTGGCATAATCAATTATGAAGCCTTATCCATGCAGCATACAGTAAACCATAATAACTTTCATATAAACAATTACGCATATTTATCCATGACATCACTATAGCCCAAACACTAATAATCATCAAGATGCCCGATATATGAGGTTATATTATTATCTTTATTTACAAATCACCAAACAAACAAACAAACTGTATGAATCATTTGTCTAAGCTTTAGTTTTCCAAAGCACCATTATTTCTGCCATTATTTTTTATGCTACTTTTTTCAGAAGACAATGGACTTGATTAAAAATGATTGCTACGTGTCGAATGACAATAACAAAAATTGACATAAAACTGACATAACAAATAGTAAATATCCTGTAGTGCTGCTCCAAACTCAATTAAATAAATACGGAGTAGGTTCTTTCATATTAGGTAAGTCATCTCATACCATTACAGGTTCCAATGGGCCATCTTTGCATACTTAGAGGACAGACAATGCCCTAAGTGTTCTTGAAGATGAAATTTTTATGTCAACTAAGTGCAGTAAGCTTTAATTTAAAAGGAGTAATACATTTTGTTCAGGTGCTCTCATAGTCATAAGTATGCCTGACTTTACTACAGGCTATACAAAAAATACCTAAGAACTAAGGGCCCCAACCACTGTAAGTAAACAAGTAAACACAGCACCACAATACATCTATTCTGAATGCTGAAATTAATGACAATTGTCTATCTCTGATGGTGGACATTAAATCATCCCACAACAATAAAGCCCAATCACCAAAATCTATGCATGCCTCTGAGCACTCTGATATCCATCCTATTTGTAATCTGTGGACTTAGTACACAAGCTAATTATGCTCAGGAACCCAACATTCTAGAAGTTAAACCCTCCAAGATCCGTTTTGAATAGGACCCCTAATTGCAGCAAAATATAAGCTATGAACGTAGTAATAATTTTCCATCACATAACAGCATCTGCGAGAAGGCAATTGTCAACTGTCACACCAGCTATCATTAGATGACAAAGTGGAAATAATACTTTTTTTTGTCAGCAAGTACATTAGCTGACGAATATTGACATATTGGTTACAAACAGTACCAGAAAAGGCAAACAGGGTGCACAAAAATATTAAAATGCTACTTTATTTTAATGTTTATACATTATACAGTAGTAGCTCCGTAGCTGCAATGTCAGAAAGTGTTTATTGAGAAGGATTCTTTATGAAGCTGGAAAGGTTGTAAAGGTAGAATTTATTATTATCTCAAACAAACCATAACACAAGAGGACACTAGCAGCATGCTGAGCTGGATGTAGATCGGATTTCTCAACACGTGGAACAGTTTATGCAGTTTACAATAAATACAGACCATAAAAGCATTCCTCCGTTACTGAAATAATCTATTTCCAACTACACATAAATGATGCATGGAGCTCAAGGTTAACGCTAAATACGAAGTTTACATCAGGCTACATGGAGCCACACCAAAGAGCTAGGGTTCAGTCATATCAGTTATCGTTCAAAATTAGATTAAGCACCAAGAGGCTATACTCAACAGAAGTAATGAAGTATGGATTGAAGCACACTAATGCTTGCACATTTTTATGCCATCTCAATGGAGCAAACATACAGGAAAATGTGAAGTGGCATAACCCATGAGGACATCAGGCAAGCTAAGCAACTATTGCAATGTCCTCACCTTCTCTCATGTCTCCTCTCGTGTACTACCCTCAATCTTCCTCTCCTCTCAACCTTCCTCCCCTTTACTCCGTCTTCCCTACCATTACATTGTGCTATACATTAACTAATCAGCAATTGCAATGAGGCCGCTGGTTCACTGCATGACAGAATAACGTCTAGAACATAAAGGTCGCTATGAGGTTACTCGTCTGGAGCATGACAGAATAAAATCTAGAGCGACAGGATTATCTACAATGGCAGGCTAAAATTAGATTATGTACAATGTCAGGCTGGAATCTAGAGCAACATGATTATCTAAGAATCAATGGCAGGCTAAAATTAGATTATCTACAATGGCAGTCTAGAACTAGTAGGTGCATGCTATGAGGCAAGAAGAGCTGGTTACCAAGGGTGCTACTGCTACTGCCTAACCTCGCAGACTCGCTCACCAAGATCACAAATACACAACAAATTAACAGCAATGCCAATTTTTACAAGGAACTCTAAGCAATAATCTGTTTGATTTGAATCGATTTGAATAGAAAAAAAAGGGAGAAAAATCTGTCTCACCCAGTGGCGTCGAGGACATCCCTAGAGATCTTCATCTTCTTGGTGGCGCCCCTGTAGAGGTCCTCAAGGCTGCAAGCCAGCTGCCGCTCGATCGCCGGAGCTTTCGTCGCCGACGTCTCCCCTGCCCGGGGGGACCCACCGAACCCCGGGAACCCGGCGCCGGGGGCGCGTGGCCCCGCGCCGCCGAATGCGCCCCCGAACATCTCCGAGAAGATCTCCTCGGCGCTCCTCGGGCTGAAGCGGAAGCCTCCTCCGCCGCCGTGGGAGGAGGAGGAGGAGGTGGTCGGCGGCGGCGCCGCGCCGGCCTTGAGGCCTTCCTCGCCGAACTGGTCGTAGATGGCGCGCTTCTGCGGGTCGCTGAGCACCTGCACGGCGGCGGAGGAGGAGGAGGTGGGTGAGTGAGAAAGGTGGAGTGCGGCGGCGGCGGCGATGGAGGAAGGGGAGGTGTACGGACGTCGTAGGCCTCGGAGACTTGCTTGAAGAGGGAGTCGTCGGCGTGCGGCGAGCGGTTCTTGTCGGGGTGGTGCTTCATGGCGAGGCGGCGGTAGGATCTCTTGAGCTCCTCGTCGGTGGCGCCGCGGCCCACGCCGAGCACCTTGTAGTAGTCCAGCCCCATCGCTCGCTGCTGGGCTTCGATCGATTCGACGGCGGCGGCGGCGGCGGCGGCGGCGACGGCGAGATGGGTAGAAGAAGAAGAGGGTTATCGTGGGTTGCTTTCTTCCTCGATGAGATGGTTTTTATCGCTTTTTTTTTTCGTTCGAGAAAAGATAAATTTGTAGTAGTCTGTTTTGATTTGATACTCCACCGTTTTTAGCCATTAACGTAGGTATTTATATAAATTAATTAATGAAGATAATGTAACGGGACATCATCGATGGTAGAAGTTTGTTACGACTTTGTAAGCTGTATACAAAACTACTGCCTCCATCTCTCTTTTTTTAACATAAAAGAAACGCATTACAAACTCATCCTATAAGTGCACACGCCACCCCTATAATTATCTCCCTTCTTAAATATAAGTATTTTGGTATGGACAGAATATTAAGAAACTAGGTGAAAATAATCTAATGAAAGTTGTGATTTGTTGATAAAAATAAAGTGGGTGAATAAATTAAATAAAGAATGTTTGGGATTCATTTTGATGAAAAACATCTCATTTTGGGACCGAGTGTTGTGTTGAAAATAACTTTATTTTAGGACAAAAGTTGTAGTATACTCTTGCTATGAAAAAAAAATCCTAACTATATATATAGTGTATGTCCAGACACATAGCTAGGATTTGGTTTCTTTAATGGAGGAAGTAGGTTACAATGATGGATTAGTACATATTAAATGTCTATATTTATATGATAATATCTGCTTAGAATTTTAAAATATTAGGAAATAACAAAATAAATTATCTGTTCTTAAAAAAATTGCTCTTATCAAACAATGTAAAGAGTTGTCTGTGGATTATTTCAGAAAAAAAAAAGAATCATTTTATCACCACTTGATTTGTTTCTCTTCTCTAACCGCAATTGTGGACCATTGACTTGGAACCAACAAAAAGCATTCATCATAATTTACTTAGTCTTTATTTTCTACCATCCTTTTTCTTCAGTCTTGGAAGCAATGTCAAACAACTTCACTTGTTTCACTATTTCTGTTTGAACCTGAACGAAACCAAATTTGATCAAAAGAACCCAAATAGGAGTGCTCTTTATTATTTGCCATGGACTCTCAAGTCAAATTTGAGGAAGTGGAACAGAGAGATAGGCAATTGAACTATCTATACAACACATCTCAAAAAAAAAAAGGAACTATCTATATGGGCCTGTTCACTTTGATGTCATTTTCAACCTTACCAAATTTTGGTAAAGTTGCCAAAAAAAGTGGCTACATTTAGTTTGCTGCCAAATTTTGGTAACTATATAAGAAATCCTGCCTGCCAAAATTTTGACACAGTTACCAAAATTTCGGCAATGCTAAAATTTGGTATGGTTTTTTTGGCATCAAAGTGAACAGGCCCTATACAACATGGACCCAAATGGCCCACTGGGCACAGTCATCTGTAGGCCTTGAACATCATCAGCCCAGTCCAAAAATCATGGCCCATAAGGCCATAAGAAACCCACTTAGAAATTAACGCTTAATCTATTACTCTATATTATATTATATATATGCTATAAAATTTGCAAGATCCTTTCAAGACAATTTTTTAAAGTCTGCAGGAACATCATGTATAAGTATAAGTATGATGAAAAAACATATGATTAAGAGAAAAATTGCAGCTAGAAACAATATTCGGTAAGAAAGAAAAAGATTAATAAAACAAACACTTTTGAGCTGGAAAAAGACATCTCCAGAATTCAGATAACCTTCACTTATAATCCATCAAATCAAACTAATCGAGGGGACGAAGTTTCGGTTTTGGCTATTCAAATGCGTCCATCAGCAAAAGCAGAATCATGAGCTCACGACAATGGAAAGGCATAAGTTTCGTCAAAGCTCATTTTTCACAACCGCTTTTGAGCTTTCTGCTGAATAACTTTTGGCCGCCTCAAGTCGGCTGCATTATTTCACTTGACATGCCCAGCTGTTTCTTACTCATCTTGCTAGTAGCTCTGTGTAAAGTGGAGGCTAATTTGCAAGCTAAAAAAGATTCATATTATATACTGCAATCCAGCATGGCTGCAGTGCTGCTTGCAAAGAAAAGGTCATGTGTTCCCATACCTTGACAATAGATTAATTAATTAAGGTGAGTGCCAAATGGAAAGTGACATGGTTGGTGATGGCAAAACCAAGCTGATTGATCATATGTCCTGACAGTGATATTGTCAGTAGTGATTCATCAGAGATTAGCATTTTGTTGTTTGTGGGTTTTGCAGGTTCAGTGATCCATAATCTGATGAGACTGTTTTTCTCCAGACCAAGCTGATTGATCATATGTCCTGACAGTGATATTATCAGCTGCGGTTCATGCCGTTCATCAGAGATTAAGCATTTTGTTGTTTGTGATTTTTGCAGGTTCAGTGAGCCATAATCTGAAGAGACTGTTTTTCTGCAGTATATCTCTGCTTTTTTGTGGAACAGGATTACAGGAGGGAGTGCTATTAAGGCACAAGCTTTTGCGTACTCAAATCGAATGATTGTTCTTCCTCAATCATTAGATACTAACCTTTACTACATTTCACTGACAAACATACTACCAGCTTTAGCTTTCTGAAAATTTCAACACTGTGCATCTTCTTTGACCTGCTCCACTATCCATTTCAAGATATATTGAGTCTTTAAGAAAAACAAAAGATGTTCTTTTTCCTTTTCTTTTCAAGCATGATGGGCATGAAATGTGGGGATACCTACATTAGATAGAGTAGATAGATAGTATAACTGAAGCTGAAATGCAATTTAAAGCAACAAGACGAAGGATTTGTTTCACCAACCATATGGATGCGGCCATTTTCTTCTCCTCTAATGTTCCTGTATGGACAAAATGCAATTTAAATGCAATGTTGTGTAAGGTAGGAGTAGGACCATAATGTACTATGTCAGGGACAAAGATCACAGTAATTAAATCCCTATGCATTTGTACTAATATAATATACTACTACCTCTCTATGAAATGTGGAGATAGCATTTGTCGGCACTACTGTTTACTAGGGCCTAATGGCGCTAATGTAATCCCTAATAGAACTATTCTCTGAAGATTAGTAGGAGCTTTGTCACTCTAAATGTACAGCATCTTCTTGAGTTAGAGTGTCCTAACAAATTCAGCTCACAATTGATTAATGGCATTTGCTCTCTTGCTGAATTATGGTCTTCCCATCATGATTAGTGTGGGTTGCATAAGGATCAAGGAAGAAGAGTACATATTGATCATGGAAGAGTACAGGATCCACGACCAAACCGATGTGAATGCAGAGAGAAGGGAGAAAAGTAAACGGCCTCCTTTTGTTGTGCTTGCATTGTGTATAACCATGTAGACCAACCAAACAACCAACTGCTCTCTTCAATTCACACGCAATTTGTTGAAATTTCACTTGTGAAAATTCAAACACGATAAAATGATATGGCATGGACCATTCAATTGCAATTTGCAGAGGCAAGAAGTTATGCTTCCATTATCGAAAGAATTAGTTATGCACTTATGCTTCCATTATCGAAAGAATTGAATGAAATCAATGTGGTTGGTTTCTTGTTGAATGTTTGTAGTAGAAAAAAAAAGAGAGAAATTTTCTCATCTATGAAAAGAGAAATCAGTTCAATACAAAATCATGTACAGCCACCATGAACAAAATGTGTGAGAGAATCACACAAATGATGTTCTCCTCTAAAAAAAATGAAGTGAAGCAACAAATTTTAAAATCTCCTTCCGGGGCTAATCACAATTTGAAACTCTGGATTTGAATTAGGGAAGCTACTAATCTCAATCAATCCATCCTACTCAACTCCATGGACGTGATGGAGAGGCTGGCGCTGGACGAGCTGTTGCCATGGCCGGCGGCGCCGCCGCCGGTGGCGCTGTCCTCGCAGAGCGCCACCGCCGTCTCGAGGTTGGCCACGATGTCCGCCATCGCCGGCCGGTCCTTCCCCTCCAGCCGGACGCAGTGCACCGCCGTGTAGGCGACCAGCTCGACGGCCTCGGCCTCGTGCGCGCTCGGCTCCGGCGCGCGGGCGTCGAGCACCTTGCTGAGCTCGCCGGCGACGATGCTGGGGACGGCGTAGTCCACCACGCTGACGGGGCTCCCGCCCTCGGCCTCCTTGAAGATGGCGCGCTTCCCGGTGAGCGCCTCGAGCATGACGACGCCGAAGCCGTAGACGTCGCTCTTGACGGTGAGGTGGTGGAGGCCGTAGTACTCCGGGTCCATGTACCCCACCGTCCCGGCGGCCTTCATCGACAGGTGCTTCACCTCCTCCGTCTCCGGCCCCATCAGCGACAGCCCGAAGTCCGACACGCGCGCCACCCAGCTGCCGTCGAGCAGGATGTTCGACGACTTGATGTCGCGGTGGATGATCGGCGGCACGGCGTACGAGTGGAGGTAGTCGATGCCGCGCGACGCGTCGAGCAGGATCTTGATGCGCAGCTTCCACGACGTGGCCACCGGCGACGGGGACGGCGAGGACGAGCCGTTGGGCTTGGGGTGGAGGTGGTCGTAGAGCGCGCCGTTCTTCATGTACTCGTAGACCAGCAGCCGCTCGTCGCTCTCCTCGCAGTAGCCGACGAAGCCGACGAGGTGCTTGTGGTGGAGCCGCGAGAGGAAGGCCAGCTCCGACCGGAACGCCGTCTCCTTCTCCTGGAACTTGCGCGCGCGCGGCCCCGACTCGCCGCGCTTGATGGCCACCTCCCGCCCGTCGGGGAGCTTGCCGCGGTACACCGTCCCGAAGCTCCCCTCCCCGATCTTGGCCTCCGCCGCGAAGTCCTTGGTCGCCGCCGCGAGCTGCGCGAAGGTGAACTCCTCGGCGGGGTCCTTGAACGACGACGGCCCGCTCCGCTGCCGCGTCATCACGCGCGACAGCTGCCGCCGCAGGCGGCCGAGCGACCCGTTCGGCGACCCGTACGGGCTCGGCGCGCCACTGCCGACAGCTGCGGCGGCGCCGCCGCCGCCGCCGCCGTTGTTGTTGCTGGCGATGTTGGGCTGGACAGAGTTGTGCACCTTCTTGTGGCTGCAGAAGCCGAAGAGGAGGCAGTAGACGATGGAGCAGAGCCCCGCGAAGCAGCCCACCGCGCCGACGACGGCGAACGCGATCCAGCCTTTGGACACGCCGCGTCTCGAGCTCGGGGTCGCCGGCGGCGACGGCGTACGAGGAGACGGCGGCGGCGGCGGCGGCGACGTGTCACAGAACCTTCTGCAGATGACGTCGCCGGAGACCTTGCAGAACCTCCCGGAGTCCGGGAGCGGGCCGCATTTGCACGAGCTGTTGTCGGAGACGCAGACGCCGGGGAGGATCGGCGGCAGGTTCACCTCCGCCGCCACCAACCCATCCCTCGACCAGCAGAGCAGGCTGAAGTTGGCCGACACGAGGCCGCACGTGAGGTTACCGCCGGCGACGAGGAGCTCGAACGCCGTGCCGACCGCCGGGTAGTAGAGCGTGGTGGTGGCGCCCCCGAGGCTCCAGCACGCGGCGGTGTGGTTCGGCCGGAGGAGGCCGCACGCGTGGGAGTCGCCGACGGCCAGGCCGTCCACGTACAGGTCCTCGCGCGGCGCGAGCACGCCACCGCCGGAGCAGAGCACGCCGCCGTCGTTCCTCCTCACCCCGCACGCGCGGGAACCTCCCGCGGCGAGGGCGGAGACGGAGGCGTTGAGAAAACCCGCCTCCACGGCGCCGCCGCGCGGGCCCCAGCACCGGACGGCGGAGGTGCTCGTCTCCACGGCGCAGGTGAAGTCGTCGCCGGAGACGAGGGAGGCGAACCCACCGCCGAACCAGAGAGGGAACCGGTCCCCGCCACGCCACCACCGTATCACCCGCGCCGCGGCGTCGTACGCCGCGACATGGCCGCCCCCGACGGCGAGCTGTGACAGCTGGCCCGGGCCGTTGTACACCCGCCTGAGCTGACCCGGCGCCGCGGCGGGCCAGCAGAAGAGCGCGCGCCCCCCGACCTGCAGCCCGCAGACGAACGCCCCCCCGCCGCCGGACACCTGGGAGAAGCTGACGAACGGCGCGACGGCGGCGGAGGAGGACGAGTTGGTGGCGGAGGCGCAGTAGACGGTGGAGTTTCCCTCCGCGACGGCGCAGGCGGTGGGGCCGGCGGCGATGGCGACGGTGGAGGCGGAGGCCGGGGCGAGGAGGAGAAGGGGGAGGAGGAGGAGGAGGAGGAGCGGGGTCATTGGATGAGGCGGGCGGCGACGACGGCGGCGGTGGCCGTCATCTCATCGGGAGTCGTGTACGGCTGCGCGGGGGAAGGAGAGGAGTACGTAGAAGAAGAGGAGACTTGTGAGAGGAAGGCGCGGATTAAATTGCTCAAATTAAAGTGCGTGGAAAAAAAAGGGGAGGTGGAAAAGGAGAAACACGACGAGACGCGTGGCCGCGTTGGGTCGGTCGGGTCGTGGCCGCGTCGCGCTTCCCCGGTTTGGTTTGGTTTTTTTTCTAGCCACGCTGGCTGAGACTGGTTTTATTGCGGTCCGCCACGCGGACACGACACGACACGCTACTGGGGTGGGTCAAACCGGGTCGCCGGACGGACGCGTCGGATCGGGTGCCAGGCTGGAATGGGTAACGAACAAAAGAGTGTGGAGTCACGTTGCGTTTGATGAACGTTTCGAGGCACCACCGGTTCCGAGGAGTATGTCAGTCCAGTCGTAGCGCCACACCACTATCACTCCGGTCAAATTTTATTTGTCATTTTGTACTACTACTGGTAGGATCTTCCAAATACTTTCCCTGCGTGTACTCTCTCGTTTTCTCATACATATGGACAACTTCTATAGATTAATCTTAAAAAATACTTTAATAAAAATTATGTATTTATTGATAGTTGTACATATACTGTAGTACTCAAAGTGGCAATGTCTTTATCTAAAACGATAATTATTTTTAATCTAGAGAAAATAAAAAGATATTTTTGCTTTAGCCTTTTCATGCTTGAGTTAGAACATACTATAAATGAGAAATTGTTATTTAGCTGGAGGAAACACATAGTAAAATATTGTGGGCTTGTTCACTTTGTTGCCAAAAAAACCTTACTAAATTTTGGTATAGTTGCCAAAATTTTGTGGCAGAATTTCTTATATAGTTATCAAAATTTGGTAGCAAACTAAATGTAGCCATTTTTTTGGCAATTTTACCAAAATTTAGTAAAGTTGAAAATGGCATCAAAGTGAACAGGCCCTGTGTTAGGCTACTAGCTTAAGCCTCAATTATTTTTAGAGTTAATTGCACTTTGGTCCACCTTTTATTACCAAAGTTTCACTTTGGACCACCCTCTAGCTAATATTTTCACTTTAGACTAGGTAAGATTACCTTTGTTGCAGTTTGGACCACCCCAAGTCACTTTTCTAACTACATCTACCCTCTAATCTTACGAAGAATAGTCTATATAAGTCGGAAAGATTATCGGTTTATGGGTGCCGATGTGGTTAAAGTCATTTATGTGCTCGAGAAAAGTTTTTGGGGTGGTTCAAAGTGAAACAGAGGCAAACTAATCTAGTCCAAAGTGAAAAAATAGTTTAAAGGGTAGTCCAAAGTGGAACTTTGGTGATAAAAGGTGGCCCTAAATGCAATTTACTCTTCTTTTTATTTGCAAACCAGAGCTATAATAGATACGGATATGTTCTTTATAGAAACTTTTTTCGTGGTAGGGAACTACCGTTGATTTACATTACATCTTAGCATGTTTTATGAGGCGCATTCGCAAGTGTTTGATTATAGTGTGCGTAGGACAATAGATACTGGTGTGCTCATATGTGCTCTTCGCCTCTTCCTTGTTATCGAAAAAAACTTGTTATCGAAAAAATATATAATAAGTTATCCTAAAATATGAATCTATTGTACCTAATCAGTTGAATTAGTGGTAAAAGGAAAAGGGCTTTATCTAACACCTATTTTTTGCAAAGTAGTAATACCTGCTAAAGTTGGGGCTTCTGTGGTGTTGTATTGTATGGCCATAGTTTTGGCTTTTGACTGGACTACTACTATTCATGGTTCAAATGTTATGATGGTCTCAAGTAAACAAACTCCAGGTAAACGTCAAAAAGGCATGTTCGAAACACGTAATCTATGACAATCTAAAATAAATACTACTATTCTACTAACTATATACTGTTCCCTGGTCAAAGCACCGAAATCAATTGTGTACAATTGCAGCCAAGGCTATCATTGTTCTCTCCAAATGCAGCATAGTTCATAGTTAACCCTGCATCACCTCTCCTAAATTAAATAAAGATCATTATTGCCAAGAAATTAAAGAACCATATACTACTGCAGGCAGCAGCTTGTGTGTCCTACCATTGCTCTTTTCCTTTCAAGCTCTGACTGAAAAGAAAAAGGAAAAGAAAGTGGGGGAAAAAGAAATAAATTTGCACAAAGCAAAATTGGAATGGCTGGCCGGTGTCAAGAACGAGAAGCAATCACCATCATCGCGTTGCAAAATTACCAGTAGGATTAGCCTAATCTTCCGTGTGCGTTTCGCGGTCAGAATCAGATTCTGGTGCCCGAATCTGGCCGTCAGGTCGGCAGCTTCGCATCCCCTGCAGTTGTTGTACTGCTTCTGTGCTACTGTGCCAACTCTGAATTTCACCTAATGCAGCCGCCACTTCTGTTTCCATTTTTTGTTTTTTTAAACAGCCTGAAGAACAACCTAAGGGCTCATTTTGAAATGTAAGAATTGAAAAGAGTAGTAACAGAGAAAAAATATAGAAATTAGGGTGATAGTATAGTCCTTGGGAGGATTGCTGAATTGTGTTGTTTGGAAAATTTTCTATAAGCTTGGACCTTACGGTAGATTTCCTCTAAAATTCCTACTCCAAACAATTATATATTTGTCCATTTTACAGGAATTTCAAAATCCTTTGTTCTAAAGAAGTATTAATAAGTATGTAGGAAGATCATACAAAGATTCATATCTTACCCATTCCTTCAAAAAGAATCTTTCGATTTCAAAGGAGCCCTAATTGGGTTCATAATCTACTCACCAATCTAATAAGTAACCTTTGTGGATTACAATACTAAACTTCTAATGCTGATCTAGTGGAGTATATTTAATTACAATACATCGTCTGGTCAGGTATAAACTTGACGGTTGTCATCGCTGATTTCGTTCTGAAAGATCATTGACCAGGTCACTATTCTCATACTTTATTCTTGTATATGGCAACTTAATTATACTAGTAGTAATTAGTTCTCTCCTAACACGTGCATGTGCGATTAATGAGCCAGTTCTTCACCTGATCGATTGACTTTTTTGCAGCTGTGGCTGCTACTACGAACCATCAAAACTAGCATTGACTTCCACATGATCAGTTGATTAGCTAATATTACTGACATGCCTTTTGCATGCTTGATTAGTTGCTGATTTATGAGGATACAGTAATAGACTAGCTTTACCATGCTTTGGACTTTTTGTTTAGCCATGGAAGAAATCAAGGGCACACGCTACTCCAGCTTGTTTTGTGTACGGTCATGATCCGACGGTGCAGGGAGTGCCACGTTCTCCAGTCATGCATGACCCAAGCTGGGTCAACGGTCAAAGCAGTCAAAGGCAACAAGGTTAGCTCGTTCAGAGTCCAAGTCAGGACTAGATTAGTAGTACTACGAGGATTAGCATGTTTCTGGAAAAATGCTTATTTTGTACATGTATATATATCCACGTCATGATAATACTAATATGGTAAAATGTAATTTCAAAGATTAGACATAGAATACTTAATTGGAGTTTGAGAATGAATATTACTTATGGTTGTAGTTTGTCATGACACGATATGGCATTTGTTGTCATGTCATCTTTCTTTTTTAAAAAACAATAATCATAGGGTGTGTATCCTAATTATGCTGAGGCTGAAAGTGATTTTAGAGTAATTACGATATAATTGTCTAAGATCTATAAAACCTTATTTATCTTAAAAGAGATATGGAATACTCGTTATGAGTTGTCACCATATGATTAGTTCTGAATATTTGATCAGAATTCAGAAGTCCAGTAGAATACAGATATGCAGGTATCTTGCATGTTGTACTGTACATATGCGTATATAAATACAGGATCGATCGATGGGGGCAGGATGGCTAATCTGCTCCTTGGGTGTCTTTCAATTCCGGGTTGTTGTTGTTGCTCTTCGATTCACACATGAATGGTGACAGATTCAGATTATGGATGGTGGATGTTGCTTTCGTTTCTCTGATCGTTTCCCACTGTTCGTTCACACCTCACTCACCACTCACACTGAATGATCCTCCATTTATGTCAAGACAGTTAGTTATGGAGTAGTTGGTTAAGTATTATTTTGTCCAAGCATCTCACTCAATACTAAGTAGTATTGATGAACCCCAGCACAGCATATTAATACATGAGTACTATACAAAGCTAGGCAGCTAGCAGGATTAACCCAAGAATTAACGTGCATGAGAATTCTGGAGTCTGAAGAATGAAGAGCAGGTCAGAGTAATACTGGTCCTGAATTGCGTGCAATTACAGGCACTACAACCAGTCTTGGTTGGAATCTCTCATGATCCAGGCAGGAATCCTTTCTACACGTTATGAGTGCCACTTGCTGTCTCTACTTGTCATCTTAACAATGGCAAATGGAATCCTTTTTCTCAAGGCTAATAGGCTATGAATGAATCTTGATATTTTGGGCCATTAATTGGTGTGCCAGCCGCGTCAGGATCGTTGGAACTTTGCCGTCAGAATATTTTTTTTTAGATAATGGAAGCTTTATTAATCTCAGTAAAATTCTATCAAGTGATACAATTATTCTGGGAGCACCTCCGGCTTCTGCACCCAAAGAGTGCACACAGCCGTCAGAATATGGTTTCAGGTTCTAGAAATTGGGTGGACATCCTCTTCTTCACTGGAAAATTCAGAAACCTGACTCAGAAAAACCTTCTGTACTGAAGAAATGACTAATCCTCTGATGAACTGCTTATCTCGCATGACTAATCCGCTGTGTTACCTCACAGGAAGCACAGTTTCAACATGGATGGAAGATTCAAGATTGGCCGATGAAAATGGAGTTCATATGAATTAGTGGTGGGGATGCAGCGGAACACATCAACTTCAGAGTTGAGAACGGTTGGTACCGACAATTAATACATCTTCCAAGTCTCCGCAGAAGATGAATTTATATTAATACCACTTTTCATGAGAAGATGAAGTAGCAGTAGCAGATTAGCATTATCTCTGGCTGGCAATGTTGTCTTCTTCTTCTTCTTCTATTCAGTTTCAGCATGCCATGTCTGACCGGCTCAATGCATGCAGAAAGTCAAGAGCCGGCTGAAATTTGACATTGAAACCGTAAAATTGAATGGTACTGCAACTGCAAATATGAGTTCTTTCTTTTCCATGATCTGTCACTTTTCATCAGATCAGCTTCTACTCTAAATTAAACCAACTTTTCGTTTCAGATAATAGGAGTAGGAGTACATCACAACATCCTCTGCTCTTAATAAATGATCTGTCACTTCATAGAAACATCATTTTTTACCAGCTATCTTGAGGCCTCAATATTCATGTCAGATAATTAATCCAGCTTCCCTCAGATAGCCCGATGTGCTTACTGCTGAATTCCAGAATTTAGACAACTTACAATTGACATTTCTGCTTTGTTTAAAAAAAATCCAAAACCATGTCCTAAATGACCTTTACCACACGCTAGAATCGCCTTAAAAACATTCATCTTTTCCTGTCCTCATAAATTTTATGCAGCAACTATCTTCCCTTTGACTTACGTTTTGAAACCTCAAGATTAATACTATTAAACTTGGACTTAGTCTTATCGACGCGTGGTCAACCTCATCTACATGGGAGAAAAAAAAACCATTACCCAGGCATGGATGTAGCTTCAACATTGAATTGAATTCCAAATTATCTTGGACTTGGCTACTTGTAGATCAAAGACAATTGCACAGCATATTGAAAGCTAGAGGTCTTGTACATAAACATGAAAATAATTAAACACCTACCTAGTTGGCCTTTGTGAGTGATTCCTAACAATGATTTGTGGCTCAACACCAACATGTAATCAATGGCAACACCTTGAAATTAAAAGAATCCTTCCCTCTTTTATTAACACGTTTATTAATCAACAACAAACAATGTACGTACAAAATGTACAATCACACCTTCCGTTTCGCACAAAATTTATTCTTTTTTAAAACAAAACTTCTAAAATTTTATGTACTATATTCGTCCTAAAACATAGCAAACCAGAACCAGATAGGACATATCCAGATTCGTAGTATTAAGATGTTTCCATCTAATCCTACATTGCTATATTTCGGGACGGAGAAAGTACGATCAATGCTTCATCCCTCATGATATCATACATGGAACTACTACTACTAAGACGATGACGATGATGAAGAAGAAGATGGAGTAGTCAGGTGAAGTCGAAGCGCATGAGGAGCTTGACGGAGCGGAGGGGCTCGCCGCGGTGGTCGCAGAGCCTGACGGAGCGGATGCCTCGCCGGAGCTCCCACACCGGCAGGCAGGTCTGCCCGCCGAAGTCGTCCTTCTGGTGGTTGTCGGACTCGTGCACCTCCACCCGGAGCAGCGCCAGCTCCGGCACGCTCAACGGGAACTCGAACTCGTGATCCCATGCCGGAATCCACGTGTCCATCTTCACCTTCGTCTGCTCCATCCTCGTGTCTGCTTCTACTCCGGCTATACCCACCTGCAGTAGTTTTCAGTTTTTCTTTTCTTGTCAGCCATTTGCCATGTCTGAAGTCTGAACTGAACATTCAGAGTTTGCTTCTCTGTGTACAGCTCATTCAGAGTTTCAGTACATCTTAGGTAATCGATTAATTTGTTAGATATGTAGTACTCTCTTTGTTTTTTAAAAGATGAGACGTCGTTAACTTCTGGGCTCACGTTTGATCTTCGTCTTATTTAATTTTTTTTGCAAATACATAAGATATAAATCATGCTTTAAAGTAGTTCTAGTGATAAAAACAACTCACAACAAAATAAACTATAATTACGAAACTTTTTGAATAAGATGAATGGTTAAGCATGTGTCTAAAAGTTAATGACATCATCTATTAAAAAACGGAAGTAGTACATGAGATTGATCAGAATGCTAACCCTTGCATAGAAGTCTGGGGGTGAGCATTTGTCGAAATGTGTCTTGCGGAAGTCGAATCGCCATCCGTCTCCCATGTACACCGTCACCTTCAGATTTTGTAGCATTGACACAATGGTTACAGACTTTCAGTTACTGTAGCAGATATGAAAAATAGTAGTAGCACATTTGGGATCTTCCGGTAATAAAAGGAAATTTAGCTTTTGTCCAGTTTACCTTTAGTCTTGTCTTTACTGGTAGTTTGGATGTAGGATCAAACAGTTTATCTGGATCGTTGTTCATCAGAATATCAGGCTTTTTGACGTAACCGCAACCGCCGTTTGCTCGGAACATCCCCTGAGTCAGCCACAGCTTTCTTCCATGGCCCTGAACATGAATGGTAGCAGATAGCTCAGATCAAAGTGGGTGAACTATTATGTATCTTCACAAAGCCTTTTTTTTAAAAACTATTCAGTACTTTCCTTGTGCTAGACCTGATTTTAGAAAAAGACACAAAAAATGTTTCCTTGCTACAATCCTTTTATACTGCAACTCTGCAAGAGGATATCCCAGTTCACTAGTTCAAACTAAGTTGTGATTTGTTAAATAGAATACCACTCCACTATATGTAACACAATTGCAATGCTGAACTGAAAAAGTAAACATGATGACTCATGTGCTTATCATGCAGAATAAGACCATTATTAATAGTGTGACAGAAATAACATAAATTGCACTAGTTACCTGCATGTTTGCTGCAACCATCTGAACTCCATACCTCCAACCCATCAAAGGATTATAATTCGAAGACGTAATGCGCGTCGACCGAGGGAATATCCTCAGCAATTTCCTCTGCGTAAACCTGAACAAGAACAAGAACAAGAACACTAATCCTGTCAGACACAGAGTTCAGTTCAGAATAAGCTGTACATGCAAACTAAACCTGTCATGTTACTAAAGCTGAAATCACCTGATAATGTGAGCTCCATGGGTGACAATGGCCTTCTCGTAGGCCTTCTCCCCGAGGCTGAGGCGCGTCACCATGTCGGGATCGACCTTGAGGTCCTGATCCATGTCGTGCTTTCTTCTTGTCAGAGGGATGGCGATGAGGCGCCTGTACTCGTTGTCCACCCCGTGCTGCGTCTTCTTGTCCGTCTCGGCCTCCTGCATCTCCTCGTCGACGGCGGCGGCGGCGACTGCTTCCTCCGCCGCCGCGCATTTCTCTTCTGTCGTCATCGCCGTCGCCGCCACCTTGTCGTCGGTGATCTCCTCGCCCCAGACGCCGGCCTCGTCGGCGTCGGCGTCGTTCTTGGTCTGGAGGTACTCCTTGGGCGGCTTCGTCGACACGATGATCTTCCCCTTGAGCTCGTCCGGCGAAGGGAATTCCGCCATGTTCTCAGTTTCAGAGACGTAGAGCATGTCACCGAACGTCTCCTTGATCATCTGCGCGAGTGAAAATCCATCGATCGATGCCGCCATTGTCAGTATATGGAGGAAGAAGAAGGTGAGGTGATCGAGATGGCAAATGCGTGTTCACCTTGGCGACTTTGGATTGGAGGTCGGGAGTGAGGTGATCTTCGAGGGTGAGGATGACGGGGTAAGGGGAGGCGACGAACGCGTACTCCCTGATGGCCTCAAGGCATTTCATCAGACCCACTGGCGATGTCAGCGTCCTGCGGGAGCGAAATCGTCGTCAGCTTCTTCTCCGGCGACGGCTGGCAACGGTGAGCTGAAGCCGACGGGTCGCGGCGCGCGCGGCGGCGTCGTGAAGCAGGCCGGTGATGGACGCGGCCCATGGGCCACCTCATTGCCCATGGGCCTACTCTATCTCCTAATGACGGGCCGGTAGATTTATTTTGGCCCATATAGGTCCATAGTTTGGTCTTGTTTCCATTTCATTAATTTAATTTAATTCGTTGAATCTGCAGTAGTTAATTTGGTTTTCTAATTAATTAATTTAGGACAACCCATCAGCAAATACACAACGGCTAGGATGGCCACTAAACCTTTTTTTTAATTTTAATGCACTTTTAATCATAGGCACTGTTATATTGAACATAAATTTCACAAATTAACATAGTTAACAGCTACTTTCATCCAAAAAATATGAGTATTTTAATGTTTTAGAATATAATAAAATTAAGATAAAATTCATACCACGATTTTCATCGCCTAGTTAGGATGAGTAGTAGATGATGAAATTACATGAGAGGACGATTGAAATGGAAAATTAAAACAAAAAATTAGAGTAATTTTAGCGTCCAATATTTGGTACCAATTTTTGGGTACCTCGAGGTACTTTATAGTGTAAAAGTTGATATCCAAGGTATTAAAATTTTATGTGCAAAATGTGGTACCTCGAGGTATAAATATAGGATGGGTAAAATTGCTCAAAATCTGTGGACAAAGGGACTAGTGTCGTATAGCAAAAATCTGTCGTGAATTGAAATTAAGGATGCAATGGAGATTGGAGGAAGGTAGGATGGTGGTTGATCGAGCGGATCACCTGCCGTGGAGGACCTCGACGGCGTCCTTGGCAGCGTTGGGCCAGAGGTCGAGCTCGATGACACGGACGCCGTCGTGGAGGGCCTTCACGATGGGCACCTCGCTGCACCCGCTGCTCAGCTGGTTCCCCGTCAGGTATGAGTTGTGCCCCGTGTAGATGAAGTAGTGTGACAGAGGCAATCCCATGTCTTGATATACCTGCACCCATAACATAGAGAGACATCTGCTTATTTTGTAGCTATATCTTTCAACTTATTTGTATAGCGAGGATTATTTTTTTACATGAATATATATTCAGTTTTTACGGTTTGGTTTTGGTTTATCGAGTACCAAACAAGGGAAAAAGTTATGTAGGACTTCGGTCCTTCGCTCACCGAAAGGACTTGATATTTTCACATGGCATGTGTCCTAGGCGAAACCGCAAAAGCAGTCTTCTCGTAGCTCTGCGCATGGGCAGCAACATGCTCATCTGAATTTCCCCTTCTACACTATTGAATTGTACACACCGATCCCCCCCTCCTTCCCCCCCCCCCTACTTCCCACTATTAATTGAGTTGTCTTTATCTAAAAAAATAGAGTTGTACACACCAACCTCCCTCTTCACTTCCCACTGTTGAGTTGTACACACCGACCTCCTCTTCACTTCCCACGATTGAGTTGTACGCACCGACCCCTCTATAGACTCGACCAATTTCTCCTTCACACCATTGAGTTGTATACACAGATTCTTTTCACTATTGTGTAATACATCCCGAACAGTTTAACCCAAAAGTTTAAGCTGATGAAGAAAAACGGACAATTCACTTATATTTCAACACTTCCCTTCACACGAGGTCCCCTCAAACCTCAGATAGAAATATGTTGTATTTTTTATTTAATTATATGCCAACTAGGGTTTAAACTTGGGACTGATACTATATTGAGTTGCATGCGTCAATTGGTTTGAATAAAAAATTTAGACTGATAATGAAAGACGGGAATTCACTTATTCCAATATCATCGACCTGTTCTCCATTCTCATATGACTAGGGACCTTATCTTCTTTTGTTTTGGAGGCGCTTGTGAGAGCTCATCCATGGTCCCTAGGTTGCATGGCCATGGTTAGCCTCTGTATGATTATCCATGTACAGTATCTGACGATGAAGGCCTTGCCTAGTTGCTCCTGAATGTGAATTAATTCCTTATATATATACGCATAATAAGTAACTGGGATATAGTTTCTATAGAAGAACATAGGCATGTACATATATCTGTAAATTATCTCTTTTTCTGTTTTGGTTTGTTCTGCTTTTTGTTCTTTTTTTCTCTCTGATGATTCCCACACCTAATATGTAATCTGTAAACCTCATTTCTATTAATGAAATGACTATAAGGTAAAGCCTACTCTACATTCTTCCGTAAAAAAAAAAGGAAAAGCATAGGAGGAGCATTATTATCAATTATTATTATTATTATTATTATTATTATTATTATTATTATTATTATTATTATTATTATTATTATTACAGATTGATTTCACACTCATTTGTTAATAGTAGTATCTATTGAACACAAGAGTAGCTAATTAAGCTATATGATGGAGGAAGAGATCGTCGAATCCATGCATAATCATGATTAATTAGGTGTTAATTACGAGTTTAATTAGCTAACTAATCACGTAAATTAAGTACGTACCCGTTTCTGAGGATCCAGTGCAGCGTTGGCGTCGCTGCACAGCCAGCGGTGGAAGCCCTCGACGGTGAGCCCGCCGCCGGCGGCAGCGGCGCCGCCCTTCCTGAGCAGCCTCTGCTCCGCCGCGAAGGCCATCACCTCCCTCGCCGTCGCCTCCAGCTCGTCGTCGCCGCCGCCGGCGGCCTCCCCCTGCACCTCCCGGAGGAACCGCCTCAGCGCCTCCTCCCCCATCACGCCGCCGCCGCCGTCGGCGTACGCCTGGAACACGTCGCCGAGCTCCTCCGACGGCTCGTTCGACGCCGCCCTGAACCGCCGCAGGAAGCAGCACACCCTGTACGTCGTCATCGCCGGCTGATCACCGCCGGCGACTTCGCACGGCTACTTACTTTTTAGCTAGCTAAGCTAATCTTCTTCTTGATCCGTGATGACCAGCTGCTTGCTCAGCTACCTAGCTATATATATACACATAGCGAGAGAATCTATTAATTATATATCAGATATATCGTCAAAATCCCTTATATTTTGGAACAGATCGACATGGTAACTTAGATATATAAGAATGATGATGAGGTAGAAGAAAACAACCGCTGCATTAGCCCAAGTGGTGTGGCAGTGCCAAATGTGCATGACCAATATATGCAATATAAAGGGCTAAAGGCAATATGGATCATTCACATATAGGCATGTTAATGCTAAAAAATCGTTGAGAAAAGGGAACAGTGGATGGGGACAGGGCATGTAGAGTGGTTGCATGCCTTGAATTCTTTGATAGATGCATGTTGTGTCAATGTGTTTTCTAACCCAGGACCAACTAACACACAAGACTATTTGAAAGTTACTTTTGTGTGCTTTGTGAGGACACCAATGACTGACTTGCTAGTGGAATTGCAGGCTAGCAGGCAGGGAAAATGTTAATTAGAGATGAGGCCAATGAACCTGCTGGTCGATCAGTCATCAGTGGTCACCACACTGTGCATGCACGGATGCCTCCTATTATCTCAATCGCTGCTGGATGCACATGGTTTGTCTCTTGTAGGCTGGGGATGGATTTTCACCCTTTAAGCTAGGCATATCCCTCAATTTTACATGTTATTTAAATATTTATGAAAACATATATATGAAAACGTTTGATAAGATAAACCAATATATATGTGATATATTACTTTAACATTTCACAAACATGCAAGTTCAAATTCGGCATATGATTTTGAATATGTGTACTATTTATATGCACATTTGTTTTCTTATTACAACTTGTATATGTTGAATTTAAACTTGTATATTTGTAGAGTGATATATTATTACATATTGATTTATCTTATCAACTTTTTCAATTTTTTATAATTATTTGTATAGCAAAAAAATATAAGAGGATATCTCCTTAGGGATGATATTACTTTTCCCATGTAGCCTTACACATTTGGGTATCGCACTGTATGTGTATTGATATGTGGGTCCATGAGGACAGTTTTGCACCCCGCTAATAATTAACAAGTCAGAAAAATCTGTATGCATATGATATATAGATGAGTGTTTTTTTTCAGGCAACTTGTCTCAAGGTGTCGGGTGTATTTTTCTGGCACATTGGATAATATGTCATGCATGTGTATTTTTCTGGTAGATGCCAGTTACCTTACTAATTAAATGGCACTTCAATTTTTTTCATGGCACAGTGTGTACATTTAGCAAACAGGGGCTAGCAGATCGCCTGACCATACATATATATAGTTTGTGTACATATACAAATATGCCAATCCTATGCCCATCAGAAAGGTTAGTGAGTACCTGTCGCCAACGTGAATCTCGCATGCAAATCCCCTTCAATTCATTTTTCATGTCATTTTATGAAGGCTTAAGTGAGAACCAGATAGAGCACATCATGATGAAGCTGAGTCGCCTTCATTGGGTCTTGCCTTTGATCCCTCTTTTTGTAACACACATCAATTCATAGTGCGAAAAAGATCCATGGGCAGACGGTCAGACACGTCAGCTACCTTGGCTGTAGAAGCCAACAATTTTGATCATACTTTTAATTTGTGGTTTTGTTCTTAAAAAAATACTTTTGTGGTTTGTACGAATCTTATGATTCACTTCGAAATTGGGCTTTTCTCCGTACGTGATTGATTAATTGATTTAATTTCTAACAGGACTTTATTATGTACTCCCACGACTCCACCACCACAATACTGGTGTTTCCCCTAATTGTTTTCTATATATATTTGTAGAACCTGATCAAGTGTCTTAGGATGTGTTCGGATAGCCTGGTTCCCAACCTTAATAGTGCATGTGTACGGAAAACGAAGCAGTCCATTAGCGTGTGATTAACTAAGTAGTGTTAGCTATTTTTTTCAAAAATGGATTAATTTGGTTTTTTAAGCAACTTTCATATAGAAATTTTTTTAAAAAAAATACACCGTTTAGCAGTTTGAAAAGTGTGCGTGCGGAAAATGTGGGAGAGGGGTTGGGAAGAAGGGGTGACAAACACACCCTTAAAACCCCTTATAGATTATCTATATTTCATATAAATTTTTAAAGAAATTTATGTAGAACTCATTAGTTCAAACATTGTTCCATTAGAATATTGAATCCTCTTCAGTCATGCGTGTTCCTTAATTAAGCACTTGTCTTCCAGAAAGGCCGAAATATATACTTGTGTCGTCACTTTCATAATATTGTACCAATTGATTTTTGGAACACAAACACGATAATATATCACCATTCATTTTGAGAAAAAAAATCAAATGTATATATTCTAGCGTCATCGAAAATGAAGAGAATAAAAATAAATGGGCATGTACGAGCAGCTGGCCATATACATATGTATTGTCTCCTGTTTAAATATATACATCATTTTTCTCTCATTTCTTTTGCTTCCTTTATTTCCCTTTTTCCCTCCGGCAATAGGTCTTCTGGCCTGTTGTGTTGTGCAATTAAAACTTTCTTTTGTTCTAATATACAGACGTGCAATATTTTTATACGTTTGCGAAAAAAAAATATTGTTGAGTCCTGACTGTCGGTTGTACGTGTCCAGGCATCGAAACCTCTGCTTTTCGCAGATCATATTAATTAACAACAGTCGCTTACTTTAGTTTGTTGCTTTGGCGATTAATTTTCCAATCATTCAGCATAAACTAGTTACTAGGGATAATTTAATTACACAAGTAGGAGTATTTATCGAATCTTGCCAGGAAATATGGTTAGTTCCCTGTCGAGTGATAGCAGATAACATTGTAAATTAATCGGAGCTAGGTAATCGGGGATAAAATTATTCAAGCGCCATGTTAAAGCCGTGTCCAAGTGTTGGCAGTTCCATCGTTAAGTTGGTCAAAGTTTATAATGAGCTATACCTGAATGATTCGATTTTGCTAGCTAAGGTTACATGGATGACATTTTTTTTTACAAATGATTTGGTGCTGCTATTGTTATATTTGCAACCAATGAAATCGGGCCATGCATATGCTAGTTGGTTAGCGCAAATCATAAGATTATTGGTGTAACATCTTGTTTTGCGGATATCATGGATGATTATGATGTTTGTGTCCGGGAGACGACCACAAATCTTGTCAGATTAAATTTTGTTCATACCTGATTAATTGCTACCGTGGGTTACAATTGATAGCTAGGTTGTTTTTGTGGATGGGAATTAATTCCCTTTTAATTAATACTATGTTTTTTCTACAAACCGACATAAGTCGGTGAAAATTTTATTGGATAAAGTAAAACTAAATATAAAAACTCAAAAAACATATGCATATGGATTTTAAGGGATGGCCTCTTGTTTGATTTTCCCCACCAAGACTGTCACTGGCATTCTTTGTGATTAAAGACTCTCTGATTTCTCTTCCCCCAAATCTCCCATGATGGCAAGAAGATGAGCAACACATCTCTATTTGGGTAAGCCTTGACAGAGGTGGCTAGCTTTTCTCTTTCGTAGGCTTAGCAGTTTTTTCCTTTCTTTTTATTTTTCCTTGTCCTCGGACAATGGCTTTCTGATTTAACTAAAACTCTGATTTTTTCTAATATATTAATAATGTGATATTTGTTTACGCGTTCGTGAAAAGACATATGACTAGCGCTTTCCACCACTCATGTGTGGACCATCAGACAACAGGCTTAAAGTTCGCAAGATTAATTATACGTTTGATAGCCATTGCGGATTGAAGCACATTACCCCAACCGATATAGATGGAGCCAAGCCTAGAACAATTAGGGTTTAGCTATCTTTTCAGCTTGTTTATTAAACCCAATTATTAAAATTATATTATAATTAAAGTGGTAAAAATATGTGATGACTAGTATAAATATATTAATTGGTTTAGTACCTTTTAGATAGCTCCAATCCTGCCAAGAGCTATCTCGTGCAAAAAGATATAGTAGCGCACTAGCTTGATGTACATGTTTTGTTAATTAAGTCTCAAAGAAATTAATCATGTCTCTTATGAAAACTAATCCAAGTTGAAAGAGAGAGGCATGTAGCTATTGCCACATCCTACATTGACTGTTAAACCACTGCCATCGAAGTGAACCATTATGCCTGGTTGTTTAAATATCAGCATCTATCCCTAAAGGTCGATCCGTGTGATGTTTCTTCTCAACAGGCGAACATGCGTGATTACTGTTAACCAGACACTGACTGCGTTATTATTATATGTTTATTTATCCTGTTGTGATTTGCATATTTGATTCATGTGTTAGCTAGCCTTTGTTCGTTCCATTGGATGGATACCAATGGCAGACACACGTTTCTCTTTCTGGGCCACTGGGATGGAATTATAAATTATTGGTGGTGGGACGCACAAATCCGGGCACGATCAAGAACAGATCGAGATATTAATCCAATTGGGAGTTTTGGAGGAGTTTGTAATGCTTTTGAGAACGAAATGTAGCTCATCTAGTTGGTGCATTGTGGAGAGTTGTCAGGGTAGGTTTTAATTAAGGCTGTGTTCGGATCCCTGGATTCCCAACCCCTCTCCATCGTATACCGCGTGCACGCTTTTTAAATTACGAAACGGTGTGTATTTTTTTAAAAAAAATTTCTATACGAAAGTTGCTTAAAAAATCATATTGATCTATTTTTGAAAAAAAATAGCTAATACTTAATTAATCACGCGCTAATGGATCGTTCTGTTTTCCGTGCGCGCTGTGCGTGTTGGGAACATATACTTCCGAACACAACCTAAGGGTGTAAAAGCAAGTTTAATAGTACAATCAACTATTATCTAAAAAAATAGTATAGTCAACTACTAGCTCCAAATCATCTATAGCTAATTTAATAGCTCATTCATATAATAGTTACCTATAAATATATACTACACTATCAATACATGGTCCAACCTCTCATATACACATAATATTTTAGAGTCCGTGCAGCAGCTAGCTACAAATCTGTAGCTCGTTTTTCTTCTCTCTCTTCTCTTATTCCATCCATATATGTTTATAACTGATTTGGAGCCTGCTATTATACTCGCTCTAAGTGTCTAACCTGTAAACCTTACTTATAGGTCCAAATAATTCGCGAACCCGCTTATTGTGACCTATAAGTAGATTTGCGGGTTAGCCACTTACATCCCTAAGTTTGATCCCCTTAAGACACAGGTTTCTCACCATTTTATTCACTATCAATCATAGTATATGCTAAGGTCCTCCTTAGCATCTTACTGTAAGCCTTCGAAAAACGGATTTTCTCTATGCGATGAAGTTGTCTTTTTTTCCCTCTCTTTTGAACCCAAATCGATTCCTCTACGAAACTTGAGGAAAA